AAACAATATGCTGCCTACAGTGTTTTCATATCATTAGGTAGAAGTGAAATTGATGTATTCCCACTTCATACTGGATACAGCAAACGTAACAGGTAGTGCTGATGTAACTCAAATGAGTTCAATGACTGCCATGTACTTTAGCCAATGTGACCTTAAATATTAGCCTAGATACCTTCAGGCATTTGTAACTGGAAAAATAATCTGGAGCATCTGGGGTACAGTTCTTGGTGGTTACATGAGTAAGCTGAAATGGACTATAAACTTTCCCACTACTTTGTTATTCTTAACACAGCTCAGAGAGTTTCATTCTTCTGTTTGCTTTTGGATCTATTACCTACTGTGAAAGCTTTGTTGTAAAGAAAGTTGCTTTATGTGAGTAGAAGGGATAATATCCAGTGTTTTGAGAGGTTTTTTTAAACAGAGGTAGAAGCTTCTTCCACTTTAGTGGGATTATCACTATTTAATAATACACTTTCTTAATGTAAACCTTAATGGTGAGATCAAAGGCAGTTATGCTTGCTATAGCTTTAGAACACAAATCCACAAAACCATCTTCTGGTTACAAATACCAGCCTGAAAAAAACCTCACACTTTCTTCTCCTTGGCATGTGCTTGTGAACACACACATTTGGTACAGTGTGATAAGACACTTCTAGTTAACATGTGCATGCAATGAAAATAGATTAAAGGCATGTACTGAAATTTTTAAGACAGTACAGACTAAACAATCAGGTATTTAAGGCGTGTTAGAAACAGGGAGGGAAAGTAATTGTGCTCATTTATTCAGTTTTAAAATCAAAAATTACTACATAGCTTTCTAATTGACAGTCAGAAATGGATCCTTTTAAATAGTCAGCATACAAAAAAATCAAGAAAAACACTCCTAGAAAGAATGGGACCAGTTTACTTAAAAAAGGGGGGAGAGGGGGGAAGTAAGTACAGTAGATTGCCCCACTGTATTTGTGTAATTAAAGTTCCATTAGTCAGCTGCTTACTTTATAGTATCTTTAAAAACATTATTAGGATGTTGCTGCTCTGGCTTGTAAGAATCTGGCCTTTATGTCCTTATCAATGTCTATGTAATTCCCATTGCATGGGATACAAGCTTGTAACAGATGACAACACTGTCATGCAGTCAGAATTCTGATTTAACTAGCTACGTACATTGTACAGCAGGGCTAGATACCTTGCTGGGATCCTGCAACATGCTTTCCTTTCCATGTAATTTGCTAAGCATTCTCACATCAGTTTTAAAGAATGTTTTAAAGAGTGTCCAGGAAACTAGCTCATTTGTGTCCTGAAAGGTTGGCAATTCCTATTTTAAGTCCTTATCCTTAAAACAACTTCTAATGTAATAGAAACCTTGCAGTTCTGCAGTGTCTATTTAGCCAGCCTGAAGAAATCTCTGTTCTATCACTGCTCCCAGATGAAAAGGCAAAAAGAACATTTAAACAAATAGCAGAAGTCAGGATCATTTTGCATTAACCACTGGCTTATGATCTGTCCCTTAAAATGCAATTTTTGTGCTTGTTGAGAATGTAGGTGGAGATTTGTTTTTTGCCAAGCTGCTGTTCAGATTCCTAGGAATCATATACACGTTGTTACGATTGCCCTTTTCCGCATGTGTTTGATGTGTAAACTAACTGTTCTTGTATTGGGCTGTGAGGATGGCAGCTGATGCTTCCCAGCTGCTGGGACATACAAGGCATTTCATGACAGTTTCTTGAAGAATTTTCTGTCCTGTCTCCTGAGCTCCCCACACTCTTCTTTCCAGATCAACATTCTTCCCCCTCAAAAAAAGTACAGTTAGATGTTGCCCCTAACATCTTATTCCCCTGCTGCTGACGCAGCCTAGACATGACATCAGTACTGGGGGAGGATATGTCAGCTTACTCATGGCACAAGGGAGCATAAAGTAGAAGGAACTGACCTGAACAGTTCTCAGAGGATGAGAAGGGTGTATTACAACTTGCATACTTTAAAAAACCCCAGTGGAGAACAGGCAGATGGATATTAGCTGCTTAGATTTTTATCACTTAGAGGCAGTTTGTACTGCGTCAGGGAAGCTAAACCAAGTTCAAGAGATAATATGAAAGACAGGGCAAAAGCAGGCCAATCAAGCAAGTCAAATTCATTTCAAAAGGTCCATCTGAAAGAGACTGGACAAGGCCAGCAGCTAATGCAAAATAAAGCAACACACTCTCATAGACGGAGAAAATGTATATGCAAGGGCTGTTATTTCAGTGCAGCTGATGTGCTTAAGAGCCACATCCTAATCTTTCTTTGATAACTTGCTGCTTTAGATATACACGTGGTTGCATCTGGCTATATGTAGCTTACAAGCCAGAGTCAGACTAAAAGCTGCAGAACTAGTACCACTGCCTGTTTGTTAGGGGGTTTTTGCCCTGCCTTGAAGGTTAGAGAAAATAGCATAAGGACAGCAGTGCTCTTAAGTCCAGGCTTTTAACACCTGTGCTTAGGGAGTTTTCAAAAGGCCAAACAGCCTTCAGAACTATGTTGGGCCATCTGACCAGCATAATAAGAATGAGTACCTGGCCTAGTACCCTTCTGTCCTATGCCACTAGAAGGGGTGAGGTGGTGTTTCCTTTATCTCGCTCCTAGTGAGTGAGATGGAGTGTTGTATGGCTCCTTCCTTTTGCCCCCTGTCTTAGCCAGCTGCCACTGGTGAGGGTTAGATTTCAGAGGTCAGAGAGTCATGTGTTAAGTGAGGCAGCCTGAAACTTCTGTGAGGTAACACTGATTTTTAAAAAGCAAAGCAGAAATCGAATGTTTTGGAAGGCATAATTAATAGTAAAAGTTACATAACTATTAAAAAAAAACAAGCACATTCAGAGTTGCAGTTCAGTCAGGTAAAAGAAGCTACAACAATCATCATAGATCCTTTTAATCATACCAACAATTGCCCACTATACACAAAATACCAAAAAGGTACAGGGGTCAATGGGTCATCAGAGATATTGTCTCTCTAGTTAAGGGAACGTGAAAAATTCTGAGTCCAACATTTACCTATACTTCTGAAAAGCAAATAGGCAACTACAAATTCACCTAATGTAGGTAAATTTAATGAAGGATTGTTGATCACTGAGAGAGTTTGATGCAATAGACCACTGAGTTATGAAGCCTCTGTCCATAATTTTGTGGATATTAGAGCGGTATTTGACTTCATCAATGGGTAAGAAAGTACAACTCCTGTTCCAACTGAATGTTACTGAGTGAACAGCTGGGGTTGCAGGGACTTTTTTATTGTTTTGTCCTTCAGGCATGTGTAATAGCCTGCAAAATGCCAGAAATAACTTGATTACATTTCATTCAAAAGTTGAAAAGATCCACCTGAAGCGTAAGTTAAGACAAGGCCACAAACTCCTGTGAGTTTTAAATATACATAATATCTTACCATGCCAAAGCATCTCAAGGCTTTTTATAGAAGATCTACAATACCACTGTTAAATGAATGAAAACAAGGAAGTCTTTGGTTTGAGAGGCAACAGCCAAAATACTCAACAACAAAAACAAGTAGCAGAGACAGAATGTCTGGAAATGGAAGAATGAAACAAGGTCAATAAAGAGTACCTAAGGCACCTTGTTTGTAGTCATCTTTGCTACACTCCTTAAGACCTCCAAATAATATATAAAACTGCAAATGCTAAGGAATGTGAAGATGAAACAGCGGAGAACAAAATACGTTACTCTTATGCCTAGTTAAAATTCTCATGATCAAGGGATGTGAATAAATACATTTATCCAAGTGATAATGAAGTAAAGAGAAGAATCAGAGCTAGGAAAATGAATAAAAGGAGGAACCAGTACCATTAAGAGTAAGTTCATTTGATAATCACGACCTGAAAGTCAAAATGAAGTAGAAAAGAAGGCTGGACGCTGAGATGTGTATAGTTTCTTTAATGTCTAGTGCATTTCTCAGTCTCAAGTGCTATAGAAGGTGGAAATACCACCCTTAATTTAAAAATTAAAAAAATAGGAGAGTGCAGTCTGTACTTGCTTCAGGAACATGCACTGTACAGCAGGAAGTGCAAAATTGTCCTTGAAAAAAAAAAACATGCAAAGGAGAACTTTGAAGAGGGATGGGAATTCAGTTTATTCTACAATAAATATTTTTAATCACCAACTTAGTTGAGACTTTCATCAAATGCAGTATGTAGTTGACTGGTAATACAAGCTACATCTGAGGACAGACTGGTGAAGTTTTGGGTTGGCCCCTCCTCCCTGCAAATCAATACCAATTTAAAAAAGAGAGGGGGAGAGCAGGGGGTGAATCCCATTACTTCTTTGCCTCAGTACTAGATGGTTTGTAAAAGTGAGTCAGCTGTCTTGAGTCAGTTCCCTGTTCTTAATGCTAGGAAATGGAGCTTATAATTAAAGCTCTCTCTAACTGGCTTACTACGTTTCCTGAACTGGGTGCAAGATGGTCAGTCAGTTTGCAAATCTATGTTCCCTTCCTGCCGCTAGCCAGAGGGAAATTAATCCCTTTGCCTACTTTTCAAGACCAAAAGAAAGAAAAACCTTCTCTCCATCTCAGTCTCTGGCCTTATTTGAATATTAGTTCCTTTATACACACCTCTAAAAGTTTCAGAATGCCATGAGAGATTGGAAGGAGAAATCACCAAGAAATCTGTGGGTTTCCAAATGTGTGCAGCAGAACAGGAAATTAGGTTAGCTGAACACTTCAGGAGATATAAAGACTTGTAAGTTTTTCACATAGTTTTGGGAATATCAAACTAAAATCTGCAATAGCCAGAAGCCTGGTTACATTTTAATGCATATTAATTAAAAACTGTACAACAGCATTTAGTGTTCATGAAGATGACTGTTACACTTTTGGCATTTTTAGGAAAGCATGTCAAGCTTTAGAGTAAGACTGTACCGTCTTTCAGTACCAAGATTACACTGAGAATTTGTGCTCACGAAGTACAAAAAAACACATTTTCCTCATTGTCTGCTTTTACCTTGTGTTCTCCCCTCAGGTATGGCCCATTTCCTGTTCCCTTGGAGCTACCTTTGGTTATATGGCTGGTCTGGTTATTGCACCTCTGTGGATACACTGGAACCGGAAGCAGCTTACATACAAAAGCAGATAACTGGAGCAAAGAGAGACAAGGTATTTCTTTGTGCAGATTCTATACAGACTGTGCAAAAGTTGTGGGGTTTTAAAGATATATATATACACACATGTATAGTCAAAGCAGAAGACTATCCAAATTCATTTAGAGTATTTCAGGCCAAGCATCTCCACTCAATAAAATCACACAGATGCTGTTTCAACATGGTGCAGTTTTTGCTTCCTCTGGACTATGTAACCCTGAGAGATTGTACCTTCCAGTCTGAATAAAATATTTGTAACAGATGTGGTGGCTTCTTATTACAAGTTCGTTGAGTTTGATTTTATTCCTTTAGATTTCACTGGTGGTAGAAGGCAGAATCGTAGTTTTAGCTTTCAAACCTGTTAACAAGTTTGCTGTACATTTAATGCATTGTATTTAAATTCAGTAGAATTTCACAGTAAGCCTGGCCATTGTCAAATGTATCTCACGTGATCAAACAGCAGTTTATGCATCTTGAGCCTATTCTCTTCTTCACTGTGTGTTTCTTTGGAGTTAGAATGGCTATAATAGCTTCATCAAAAACGGTCTTCAGTCCTTTCTGTGTTAAAGCTGAACACTCCACATAGCAGTAGGCTCCTATCTGTCAAGAAAATAAGTTGATTCAATAGCAATATATTTCAGCTGTTCAGTTCTATTTGTGTACTTCTGCGTATTTTTTTTTACTATAGTGACATCACAACGTTTGGCTGTGATCTAGAAAAGTTATCTGAATGTGCTCCCCCCTGGAAGGAGAAAAGATTTGTCTTTTGGCGAAAGATCTGGAATGTATTTAAGTTGTTTGGTTTGTAAAGGAAGTATATTAAATAAGCTCGTTGGATTGGCAGTGGGGTCCTAAGGTATTTTTGATAATTAAACAGCAAAAAAGAATTACAGAGTTCTATGACCAATTTGTTTCAAAAATAAGACTCTATAAGTAAGTGTCCTGATAAGCATTATCCATGCCGTGTGTTAAAATGGTAGTATAGCATTCTCAAATAATTTCTTAAAGATGCTTCCAGTATTCTGCTTGAGCAGGAGAGGTGCCTTCCAACCTCAACCACTCTGTGATTTTAATTCTCTCTGACTTTTGAATTCTCTCTGACTAATGCTTCTGTAGTTTTTACAAGTGTCTACACAGAAAGTTAGAACTATTACTAACAGGGAAGTACTATTACACAGATCTGCTTGTTAGCTGTATTCCAACAATGCAAGTAAATATTGCAAGTAAATATTGCTAACCAGTAACTAGCCATAAGGTTTCATACGTTGACTGGTAAAAGAAATGGGCGAAGTGGTAAAGGAAAAAAAGGTCCCTTGGAAATAGGGGCTTTTTGCTTCTTTGCTACTTCATTTCATATAGGAGTATCCAGCTTACCTCTTTCGCTAACTTCTGTCCTTGCTCCACAGATACAGGCTTCTCTTTCATATCATTCAGTCTTGCCAGAGTTTTTGGGTCATCACGAAGATCAATCTAGCGAGAAAGATTGCAGTCCTGTTGGAATACTTTTTCTAAACAAAAATCAGCAGGCTATAAGATACCCTCTTTTTAAAGCAGAATTCTTTATTTAATGGAGTATTACATGTATAAAAATGGAGTCATGTCATGAATCAGATTGTGGACCCTTCCTGATCCAAAACCCCTGGAAATTCAAGCTGTGAACTACTACCTTTAATCCAGACAGAACAAATGTTTATTCTGTAATTCAGCTCTTCAATTAGACATGACTGTCTCGGAATACCAGAATGTATATCCAGCACTGGCAGAAGGATTAACCCAAACATAATACCAACATATGGGTCACTTTGTAATTGAAGCCCACAAGAAGCAAGAACAAATTGTCTCACTTCTCCCCTTGCTCCTTGGCTTCAGCTAATATTGAATGTGGCCAATAGTTGCAGACCCAAGTAATTCCAGTAACATGGGTGCGAACAGACAATTTTACTCCTTAAGTCCCATGACTTTATAGCAAGTCACACGGAGAGATGCAGCTGATCTTGCCACCCTGTTTACAATGCATATATTTTAACAAAATTAAGGTAGTTCATTAAAGAACAACACAGATCTAGCTGCTTCTGCCACTTGTTAGGGTTCTCCCTCCAAAGCCAGAAGGTGATGCTGCACAGGTCCTGTCGGGCCTGAACTTCAGCCCAAAGGAAAGACACCATACAATGATCTGAATTGTTTAAATAAAGTAGAACAGAACCAGATAATACCTGTGTTCCTACTAGTAAAAAGGGAACATTAGGTGCATATTCCTTCAACTCCGGTACCCACTCTTCCTTCACATTTTGAAATGAAGCAGGATTTACCACTGAGAAGCAGATAAGGAAGACATCGGTCATAGGATAAGATAAAGGTCTCAGACGATCATAGTCTTCCTGAGAAAGAAAAATTCTGTTATCTGCAATATTAAATTTTTGCTTTTATTTTGTTAATTTTAACAGTTATATTCATATTTCAGGAATTTTGTTGAAGCAAACTTTCTGCACGTTTACAGCTATCTATTCCAGGTTAATATCTATTCCAGAGCAAAACCTGCACGGGAGGGTAATTATATGTCACAGAATCACAGAAACACTAGGTTGG